CCTCCTGGGACCCCTGCCCCTGACTGCCCCCCCGGACTTCACCCCCTACCTAAGCCTCCCTGTTCCTTGTCCCCTAACTACCCCCTCCTAAGACCCCCCCCAATGCCCCCCAGCACCCTACCCGTTACCTGTACCCTGACTGCCCAAAACCTTATCCAGACCCCCACCCCTAAAAAAGCCCCCCCTCCCCCGTCTCTTGACTGCCCCCTCCAGAACCTCCCTGGCCCCCTTGTTGTTGGCCTTTGTCTAATGTCTCTGTGAGCTTGCTCAGGAACGGCCTGAGCCGTTCGTCCCGGCACGCTGGGCAGCAATGAAGGAGGAGCTCCAGACTGCCGGAGGCAATCTGCGAATGCAGGGAGGGAGTGATCTCTGCTGCAGGGGAGAGGAGGAGGGGCTCTCTCTGGCTGTCGGAGCCCCATGTAAGTGGCACCATCCGGCAGGCTGCCCTGTTAGCCGCGAGCGCTCTGCAGTGGGGGGGGGGGGGGAAAGAGTCCGGACATTTACAAAATTCCCCCCGGACGCTATTTTTAGCTCAAAAAGCCGGACATGTCCAGGGGAATCCGGACGAATGGTAACCCTATAGTTCCCGCATCGGAGTGTTGCTCTTTTAAGACTTCTGCTTCAGATCTCGTTCCTCTCAGATTTTGGAAGGTACTTCAGATTCTTAAACCTTCGGTCGAGCACCGTAGCTAGCTTTAGAAATTTCACATTGGTACCTTCTTTGTGTTTTGTCAAATCTGCAGTGAAAGTGTTCTTAAAATGCACAACATTTGCTGGGTAATCATCTGAGACTGCTAGAACACGAAATATATGGCAGAATTTGCATAAAACTGAACAGGAGACATACAATTCTCCCTCAAAGAGTTCAGTCATAAATTTAATTAACACATTATTTTTTTAACGTGCGTCATCAGCATGGAAGCATGTCCTCTGGAACGGTGGCCAAAGCATGCAGCAGCATATGAATGTTTAGCATATCTGGCATGTAAATACCTCGCAATGCTGATTACAAAAGCGCCATGTGAACGCCCATTCTCACTTGCAGGTGACATTGTAAATAAGAAGTGGGCGGCATTATCTCCCATGAATGTAAACAAACTTGTTTGTTTTACCAATTGGCTGAACAAGAAGTAGGACTGAGTGGACTTATAGGCTCTAAAGTTTTACACTGTTTTGTTTTTGAGTGCAGTTCCATAACCCCAAAAAATATAAATATATAAATACACACACACTTGTAAGTTGCACTTTCACAATAAAGGAATTGCACTACAGTGCTTGTATGAGGTGAACTGAAAAATACTATTTCTTTTATCATTTTTACTGTGCAAATATTTGTAATAAAATATAATATAGAGTGAGCACTGTACACTTTGTATTCTGTGTTGTAATTGAAATCAATATATTTGAAAATGTAGAAAAACATCCAAAATATTTATTTAATTTCAATTGGTATTCTCTTGTTTAACAGTGCCACTAAAACAGCAATTAATCGCGATTTTTTTTTTTAGTTAATCGCGTGAGTTAACCACAATTAATCGACAGCCCTATTTAATTCTGAATGCAAGAATTCCAGAAAGACTGTCTGTCAGGAGGCTGTCAAGCTGATCTGCCCCTCCTCTCTCCCCTCCCCCTCAGGTAAAACACTGCTGTCATATTGTCTGTAAGTACTTGAACATACTTGCCCTTTCTCTGGTTGAGAAAAACTTGGCAGAAAAACTCTGAAAATTGCCCTCAATTATACAACATTGATGTGTATGGTTTGTTTGCCCACAGACCTTGAGCTTGCAAGGGACACAGATGTGCACCTCAACCGAAGGAAGATGTGTCCATAACCACAGTCATAGTAGGAAAGGAAGAGGAGGAGAGACAAAGAGACGTTGAACTGGATTCTCCACCAGTTCAGGGAAGATGGCACACTTGCAGATCTGTGAATTAATGTGTCCAGAGGGTGAGTTAATGGACAGTGGATGAATTTTAACCAGCCTTAAAGACATCTCAGGTATAGTTTGGCATGCTGAGTCACCTACATGCAAGTGGCCACATGTCCTAAAAGTTGCATACAGTTTCTCATCATTGTTTGAGGATAAGGTTGAAGGAAACTGCATAATTCCAAGATCACTTGAAAGCTGACCCAAGGAAGGTATGCCATTGTTGATGTTGAATCTAGCAATGCTTTGATAAACTCGATTCTCTGCACCAGAAAGTGACTGTATAATCAGGCCCAGCTGGTCAAATAGAATCTGAATTGCTCTGATGCCTTCTGTTGTCTGGAATGCCACCAAATAAGCCAATCATCTATATCGGGGTATACCTGATTAGCGATTCTGTGAAGAAGGGCAGCTACTCCAGCCATGCATTTGATAAACGCTCTGGGAGCTGATGAGAGACCAAAAGGGAGGATAAATCTCAGAAACCTCCTCTGGTGTGATGAATGGCCACACAAAAGCAGGCATCTGGAGGACCGAGAGCAGCATACCAATCTTCAGGATTGGGTGATGGGATGAAGTATGACAATGATATCGTACAAAACTTTATGTATTTGTTTAAGTTTTGTAGGTCTAAGATGGGTGAGGGACAGTGAAGGGGAAAGGGAAGCAGATCTAGTTTTTTGCTGTAACATGTAGCTCAGTTCCATAGTGCTTAGAACACATTTGTCGGTAGTGATGGCTTTCCACGCACCCAGGAAATCAGACAGTCTGTTTCCAAATGGAGGTGAAGAAGAAAAAGAAGATCCCTGATAATGAATATGTTGCTCTCGACTGAGCACTGCTTTGATGTAGTAGGGTGCTGTTCCAAGGTTGAGATGTGTGCTTCCTTCCAGATATGTCCAGCTATCTTTGAGGGTAACAGGATTGCCTCTGCAGCTGCTATTGATGAAACTGAAAGGGGAGCTCAGAGTGTCTCCAGTCATGTTCTGGATGTCTGGCAGATAAATTGCTGAAATTTCTATCTGATGGAGAATGAACCAGTTCCACAATAAAAACGAACAAGGAGTCCTTGTGGCACCTTAGAGACTAACAAATTTATTTGGGCATAAGATTTCGTGGGCGGAAGTCTGAGGGTCTATTGGAATATGATTAGACTTCACATGATGAGACTTCAATGCCATGGTCAGAACCTGAAAAGACTCTTAGATGTAGGGTCACATTTGTAACCACACAGAACTCTGCATCAAGTCCTTCAAGGAGCCCAATATCTGAGAAGGGCTAAGAAAGAGGTTGAAAGTTCCCATGTCTTCATGTAGAGTGTGGCATAGGGAATTTTCAAAGCCCCCTCAATGGTGTTCTGTACCATTCATGCAAAGGTGTGAACCTCCACGGTGGACTAGGAAGAGCACCAGGGCTTGACAACAAGGCATGCAGAGAAGAAGCCAGAATCAGCACTGGAGTCTGGTGCTTATGCACAATGACATGGAGAGGGCCCAAAGCATTCTCAGAAGGGAAAACCCTTTGCACGTAAGCACCAAGAGGCTAAATATGCTGTTCTGGTGCCAATAATAGTAGGAAATGAACTGCAAAGACCAGCACGTAGGGCTCCTGCACCAGACCAGGTGAGGAAGTGTGGTGGTACTACTTTTTCTTTTTCAAATTTCTTCAGAGTCAGAGTGTCACAGTCACAATAAAAATTCCCTCTCCACCCCGCCATGGGGTTTCCTGGGTAAACACCAGCACTGTATATTGCTAACACTTACATATGCATGGGAAAGTATCTTGGGAAGGGTCGAAGGCATGAGTGTGGAGTGAAAAATTCCTTTGCAGGTTGCAAGAGGCCAAAGGGGAGGTAGGGAGAAAGGAACGGATTAACTCGACAATTCAGCTAGGCTCAAAGATAAGGAGTAAAGGTAAGCAGGCACTGAGGTTGGCTTAGACATTGGGACCTTGTCAGATGGCAATCATGTTTAGTAGCAGAGGTCTTGCTCTTGGGTTGAAGAGATCCACTAATTGAACCCTTGATAGCAGCTGGAGCCAATGCTGCTAACTGCCTCTTAGGCACAGAAGTGGGCCATTCCAGACAAAATGCAGAATTCAGACCCAAGGGTAGTTTGCCCACCTTCAGTCCTTCGAAGGCCAAGTGGCCTGAAGCCTTAACTGCTGTTCCTGTTGACTCCTGGGCAAAAATCTTACACACTGTAGACGGTGAAGGGGAGCACATGCTGCCTAGGCATATTGGGCACCAGATGCATACATCCAATTCCAGAGCAGATGCTGGGCATGACATGCCCTTTTTAAAAAATCTATTTTGGGTCCCAATGCCAGAAGATTCCCAAGCGCTCTGAGGGAATAAGGAGATTCCTTCTAATTAACATAGATTAAACTATTCTAATCCAGTACTCCAGCTTGGGTGTCATTCATAATTTTTTTAAGCATACTCTCCACTTCCTCATCCAAGTCATTAATGAAACTCTTAAATAGTACCAGATTAGAACAGATCACTGAAGAGTCCACTAGACATATCCTCCCAGTTTGACAGCAGACCATTGATGACTACTCTTGGAGCCATAACTGATGTCTGTCATAAGAGGAGAATATGAGGGGCTTGATTTGCAAAAGTGTTGCACACCCTGAACTCCAACTGAAGTTAATGATACTCAGCAAATTTGAAAAAAATCAGGCCCGAAAGTTATTGGACCATGGGGTGGAAGGGGTTGCAAAAAGGCAGAGCTGTTTTCCCCTAGGAAATAAAAGGGAGTTCATTTAGTAAGGCATCTTCAGTACTTGTATGCACCATCATTCATCTTTAACACATTTTCCTATTGCATGCACCGACTCTTCATAAACTTGAATTTACTCACACTATTCTGTACAAACATAGCTAGTTCTTTTAAGGCCTCAGAAGAAACACATAAGAAATATATTAAGAGTTCTAATACCATCTGAAGGAGAATCATATCTATTAAAAATATCCAATTTTATTAAATTTTTAAAATCACTAGCACAATATAGAAAGTAAGTTAAGTTTACCGTTGTAACATGAGATGCTTCTGAAGTAGTGCTTGCTGAGTTCTGTGGACCACTCATATGCATCTTGCTGATGTGAGTATTTAAGCTGCCTAAGCTTTTGAAAACACAGCTACATTCTGTACAGTTATAGGTAGGGCCATTCTTCACCTTAAGGAATAAAGAAAATATGTTTTTTTTCCAAGATTTTTCCAGTTGTAATTTTTTCTTTATTTATAAACAATAAATATACTATATAGTCTTAGATAACTTTCTTTTAAATGAGCTATTTCTTCAATGCTATTTACCTCCAGCTAACAGAACAATTGAGTATCACTTTTTGGACCACGGCCATCACCATTCAGTGACATGATCATCATCTGTTGTCATGGGGAGCTTTTGTGGAACTTCAGGGTATGTCTACCCAGCAAAGAAAAATCCATGACTGGCACGTACCAGCTGACCTGGACCTGTAAGGCTTGGGCTGCGGGGCTCTGGGAACCACCCACCCCGCAGGGTTCTAGATCTCAGGCTCCAGCCCAAGCCCAGAAATCTACACAGCAATGAAACAGCCCTGCAGACCAAGCCCTCTGAGCACAAGTCGGATGGTACAGGCCAGCTGCGAGTTTTTCTTTGCTGTGTAGACATATCCGCAGAGAGTATATTAATATGAAAAAGAAAAATGCCCTTGGCCAGTGGTTTTCCAGCTTTTTTCCTCTCCATCTCATCCATGCATTAAAGCAATATTTATATAGAAACAAAAATCCAATAAGGCAGTTTATAAATAAGAACAAGGTTCCTAACTGAAGAGGATAATCCAAGTAATGTACAGATGAAAGACTGGAAATGGAAAGCAACAAAAAGCAAGTGAGTTAGTGGTGATGCTTAGAGAACGCATCTTGTTCATTTGCTTTTTTGTATGAGGTTTTGTTGTGGAATTTTTGTTTTAGATTTTTGTATTAGGTTTCGACCTTGGGGTAGTTTCTGTGTAGACATTTTTCAAACTGTGTGTTCATCAAGGAATGGAAGATGGAGGCAGGGTGGACTTGGTTAGAGACAAATAGGGCTACATAGAAGAAAGCACAAAAACTAAAATGCAAAGAACACATGAAGATGGGGGCAAGGACATTTAATCTTGTAGCTTGAACAGAGGAAGAAAAAACAAGATCAGAAAGGTAGGCAAGAGTTTGTAAAAGGATTTTGAAGGCAAGGACAAAAAAATTGATAATTAAGGTCAGAAGAAGCCACTAAAGGGATTTGTAAAGAAGTTAAACATAGCTGGAGTGGTGGGCAAGGTAGATGATCTGGTGGCAAGATTTGTACAAACTGAAGAGGAATAGGTCAAAATAAGGGAAGCCAAAAGAGAAGAAGGTTGCAGTAGTTGAAGCAAAAGACCAAAAAATAAGGACATACAAAAATTTTAGCAGAGGAAAAGGAAGAATTTTTTAAGAGGATGTAGAGAAAAATGTTGATGGGATATAGCAACAATAGCAACATGGTAGGAGGAAAGGAAAGAATGAGCTATCCAAATTATCCCAATGTTGCAAGCCTGTAAAAGAGTATGGCGTGCATGGCTGACTACACAGTAAAGCAGAGGGATGAAGTTCTGCTTTTCCCATGTTGAGCCAGAGCTGGTAGCAAGATATTCAAGAAGAGGTATCAGAGAGAAGAAGAAATACAACACTAAATGCAGGAAGTAGGACCCATGAGCCATCATAGTAGAGGTGGTGGTTGAACCAATGTGATCTGAGACTGGTCAAAGAGAGTGTGGAAAAAAAATAGGAGGGGCAAGTATACATTCTTGAGAAAATACCAGGGAATGTGAGAAAGAGAAAGTGAAGGATCTACCAAAGACGACTCTAGAGGCAGGATCAGAACAAGGACTGCATAACATGACAAGGCCTTTGGAAGAAAATGTTTCTAGGAGAGCATGATCAAATGATAGATCTTAAAATTGGGAATGGGGGGGGGGGAAATCAATCAATAAATGAGGATGTTTTAGGAGGATCCCACAACAACCTGATGCTATTCAATAATTTGATCAATTACCTAGAAGAATCTCATTGCTAATAAAGTTTTTACAGATGAAGTGGTAAATAACTAGGACCAGTCACAGAGACAGATCTGAACAACTTGACAAGTGGGACAGAAATAAAATTGCCCGTTAATACAGCTAAATACAAAGTCATATATCAAGTAACAAAGAATGGTATGCCATATTTGTTTCATGGGGAACTGGATCCCAGAAAGCAGTGACTCTAAAGAGAACTTAAGGGACATGGAAGATAGTCAAACAAACATGAGCTCCCAGTGTAATACTGTAGATAAAAGGGTTAACACAATTCTTAGATGTACAAATAGAAGACTACATAATAGAAGCGGAGAGGTGATACTATTTTGGCATTGGTGAGACAACTACTACACTGTAATTCCATATCCATTGTTTTGCAATCCATACTAACACTCTCCACTCTCTTATTTATTTTAAGAAAGGCAGAAAAGTGATTTGGGGTCTGAAAAACACACCTTAATGAGAGACTGAAAAGGTTTAATCTATTTAGCTTATTTAAGCAAAGGTGACCAATGGCTTCTCTAACAATTTATATACTCGATCATAAGCCAGTTTATTTATAAGCCAACTCCCACCCCCAAGATGGATAAGTAAAAATGGAAAACGTTTATGACCCATTCATAAGCCGACCCTAGAATTCAGGAGTCAGCAAACTTTAGCACCCGGGCCATCAGGATAAGCCGCTGGTGGGCCGAGATAGTTTGTTTACCTCGAGCGTCCGCAGGCACGGAGGTAAACCTAAGTAAACAAAGTGTCCTGGCGCGCCAGCTGCTTACCCTGACGGGCCGGGACAGCAACTGGTGAGGAAATTTATGGGGGAGGGTAACTGGGGGGTCAGGGAAGTAACCCCTGTGACAACCCCCCACAAGACCCCACCCCTAGCCCGGGACTCCCACACTCTCCCCATCCCATCCCTTCCCACCTTATCTGGGGAGGATGTCTCTGGCCTGGCTGGAGCTGCTCCGGCAGGCTGGGAAGCGCAGCCACAGCCTGCTCCGGCGGGCCAGACCGGACGGCGCAGCCGCAGCACGTTCCAGCGGCCTGGGCCAGGCAGCACGGCCGCAGTGTGCTCTGGCAGGCCGGGCAGCGCGGCCACAGCCTGCTCTGGGGGGCAGGGCCGAGCATCACGGCTGCAGCC